AATGAAAGGTCTTGATGAGTGTAACATCGGGATGAGCTTATATCTTTGAAAATGTCAATAGTTCACAAGATACAAGGTCATTTCTTAATTATGTATCTGGAGATAGAGCATTTTTGAATGCAGCCTAAATACACTGACCATATAATTTTCTTTATTCTCTTAATAATATAGATTGTAAAAAAAAAAATAATATTCCATGACAATTATTCTCACAGCAAATTTCATTAAAGTTAATCGAAATTAATCAACATATTCATAATTATTTGATTTGTCAATTGAAAAATAAAATAACAAAAACAACGACACTTGTTAAAATCAAAATAAAAATAACTTACCATAAGTCATAATCGTAGCATTTTGTCCTGTCAAAAAATCAGGCATTTGTGGTTGCAAAACCCGTTCAAAAAATTGTCCCTGCGAAACTTCAGGGCCAAAAGTTTCAGTGAAGATGTACTTCCGACACACCAAGTCAGCTGACGATGACCTGATAGAGGAATGTGAATCTTGACTGGGTAGCTTGGTAAGCAAAGTCGAGGAACTGGTGATACGGTAAGCATCTTCCTCCTGGGCTGTAAGCTTCACATTTTTGTTGAATGGCTTTAACCTCAAGTAAACCTTTATTGTCTGCGCCGATGACACGTCCAAACTTGCAACAGTTTCCTCAACCTCGTACACCGAATACAGGTTTTTCTTCGTTTCTACAGAAGGTCCAGGTCGTTGTCCATATGACAAGATACTCGGGTCTCTTCCGTAAATATATGACATTTCCCCAGTTCCTATAGACAGAGGTCTGATGGGATCCAGGGTCTCGTCCAGCTACAAGCACCGGCAAATAACAAAGACATTTAATTTTTTAATTTAATATGAAAACAACTAAACAATTGTGATTTACTTACTTTGGATTCATGTTCATTAGTCCCACTCATTTTTATTGCGTTTGTTTATAAAAATTCATTCAATAATTGTTTAAATTGTTTAAAAAAATACTAAAATATCAGAGCGTCATTTTTACACTCTTTCCCTCTCAAATGTATAAACTGTATTATAAACGTAAGATGGTTGTTATAAAACGGTTGTAAAAGTTTTTAAAATCCTGACTCGCTATTGGTCTATACCGTCAACTATTCAACTATCATCAGCATCCAAAATATTATTTAATGTCTCCATCTGTCGGAGTTTTCAACAACTAATCATCAGTACTGTTTTTTTTATTTTTTTAAATTATCTTCTTTATCAATAGAGATCTTCGCACACGTGTACACTCTGTTGACAATTCTCAGAATTAATTATCATGTCTATTTTGTGTTTTATTAATAATAATAATTTTTTTTGGAAAATTTCATAGTTAAAGAGTACATGAAATGTAAGGAGTGATTTCTCGGATTACTGTGTGAATCGGTATTTTTTGGCAATTATAAGACTTTAATTGAATGAATTTAATAAACAGAGTATTAATAAGCTCAAGTTATTATTATTTTTACTCATTATATTTATTTAATACCATACAAGGTTTGTAGTTACTTTTATTTAGAAATTCAAAAATAAGGTTATCAATATGATAACTGATGTACACATTTTTTATACTGAAAATAACTAATTATTTTTTTGTTAAGTAAAATTTTGATAAAATTCATGACATTAAAGCTGACCATTTTTTTAATTTTTTTTTAACAAACAAATTTGTTCCAAAAAATTATTAATTATTTTTAAAAAATTGCATTTTTTATTTTTTTCAATTTCTACATGTCAATTTTTTTTTCTAAATTTTTTTTGCAATAATTTATTTCTTAAAAAAATTATTTAAAAAAAATTGCATTTTTTATTTTTTTTTTTCAATTTCTACATGTCAATTTTTTTTTCAATAATTTATTTCTTAAAAAAATTGTCAAAATTATCAAAAATCTGCTAAATTAATTTTCATATAAAATTCACGTTGGTATTACAAATTATTTTATCTAATAGATGAATTTTTTTGCTTGATATTTTCAGTACTATTTTTTATTTATATATTTATCAGTAACAGATAAGTTATAATTGAATTATCTTTTAGGTCGCCAAAAAATATAAAAAATGTCACAACAATTTGTCGGTTGTATGGTGTCAATAAAGTGCGTTGATGATTTGGGTACTTATCAGGGTCAAATAATTAATTTCAATCGGCAAACTGTTACTATTTCAAAGGCATTCAAAGATGGAATTCCTCATTCTTCGCAACAGGTTACTATCAAGTAAGTATTTTTTATTATTTAAATTAACAATATTATTGAATTGAATTAATATAATAGTTAATTAATCATTAGTATAATAATTAATTAATTAATTAATTATTATATTATATTGAATTGAATATAATATAATTTTATTGTTTATTAGTGCCAGAGATATACAAAATTTGGAAATAATATCAACAGAAGAAGCTGGAGCTAAGGAAGTACAAAGTCAGAATAAAATTACTGTTAAAAGGCCTATCGCTAAACGTGCTAACAGATCTGTCTCTGAGTGTATTCCTCCTTCGACGCCTCCTTCAGTAAGCCAAAATCAGAATCAGAATCCAGTACAAAACTCGGTAAAAAAAACCACCGAGCAGAGTCATCCTGAGTACCCAGTTAATGGACGAGTTGTCGCTGGTATTTTATTATTTTTTTATTCAAACTTTCTTTTAATAAAAATAGTAGGATTTTTTTTTAATTTATTAATCATTCACAGCAGAGACGAATGCTAAATTTAATCAAAAGAGAGTCACACAGAGACAAAAATGGCAGGAGAGAGATGAACAGGCTTTTGGTACTCCAATTGATCAGTCTATGAATCAAGATTTTGATTTTGAAAAAAATCTTGCTTTGTTTAATAAAGAAGTAAGTTTGTAATACAAATTAAAATAAGCATAAGCATAAGTAATAATAATAAAAAAAAGTTGATAGAGTTCAAACAAAAAAAAGGCCATTCGGCAGCCGAAATGAAAGTAGATTTCATAATGAATATAAAAAAACTACTCAAGTAACTGCAAAATTTTTATACCTGATTTTTTTTAGTATTGCTGCATTTCTTATAACTTTTAGGCTTTAATTTCATGTATTTTTTCTTAAAAATATTTATATTCAAGTATTTTCTATTCATAAATCAAATTTTTTATCAATTAGGCGCGCAAACTTTTTTTTCATAAGTAAAATTTTTAAAAATCTTAAAATTGTCAGTATATTGTATTTTGAAATTCAATAAGTTATCTCATTCAAAAGTTATTCGAGTAAAAAAGTGAAGAAATATGAATTTTTATGATTTTTAAAATTTCGAAATTCTTAAGCTCTTTAAGCATCTTTAAACTTGACTTTGGTATCTATCTGTAGAATAAGTATGTTGAGTTTGGTGGCGATCCGTTGCTAATTATCCTATATACATATAAATATAGATATATAAATACATACATTTATAAATTTTTGAACCATATGTATTTTCTGAATCAGTTTGATGAACTATGTCGAAATATACAAAAATTTTTTAAAAGTTCCGTCATGAGGACCAATGCAATAATTAGATTTATATTAAATCTACTAAAAAAGGTGACACTGTTGAATTTATTTAATAAAAAAATTTTTTTTTACTTACAGGCTGTATGGGAGGAAATAAATTCATTGAAACCAGACATAGTAAGACAGTCAGAGAGTAATAGAGGAAAATATCGTCATGACGAGAATGTTATTGTATCCAAACCGACTACTCTGAGACAAATAATTGTCCCAGTGAGTGACGAGCGTGAATATGTGACGGACGACGGTCTTGTGATACCCAGCATCACTGTAGATCTTCACAGACAGTTAATAGGCGCCGCTGACCGTCTGGGAATCAGTTGGGAGCGACGAGTAAGTTTTATATTTATATATTTAATACAATATACCTATATAGAGAGCTTTAAATTTATTATATATGTAATCTTAATAGGTTGAATTAATGGGCCGAGCCGGAGCGGAAATAATAATCCAATTGCTGGGTGGCGCTCATCGTTTAAATCCGAAAAATGCTCACCAGTGGCCGACAATCGTAGCATTGTGTGGACCTCACCGTACTGGAGCCGCTGGAGTTAATTGTGCACGACAATTATCAACTCATGGTATTAAAACAGTAGTTTATGTTGAAAATTCGGAAAATATTTCGTTACTTCAGGAGTTGTCGTTGTACAAAATGACGGGAAACAAAGTTGAGACTAAAATAGATAAATTAGCGTCAGTTGTTGATCTTATTATTTTGGCACTTTATGACGAGCATTCACCTAAAAACAGTATTCCAGCGGTTGCCAAATGGGTCAACAGTAATAAAGCTCCTGTCCTTGCTATCGAACCGCCTTCAACTGGGACTCCCGGTATCTTGAGTAAATTTAGTCTTGTTGGTGGATTACCATTATCACATAGCCCCGATAACGGTAGATTGTATCTTTGTAATTTGTCGTTGCCAAACAAAGTTTTTACAGATGTCGGAATAACTTATCGATCACCATTCGGCCCTAAATTTGTTATTCCACTTCACTATGACGACTCTTAACACTATTTTTAAAATAAATAATTCTAATATTAATTACAATCCATTTTGTGACACTATAGTGAGTTTAATACGACAGTGACAATTTATTTTAATTATCAATAATATATTGGACTACTGTCATATTTCATTCTTTAGAATAATTGTTCATTACTTTATTTTTTTTATCCATTAATTCATTTGATTAATTATCTCTATTATTATTTTAATCCTCATGTTTAAATAGAGTTAGAATTTGTTTTTAGTTAATTAAATTTGCATTTTCAATCATCATTTTTTTTTTTTAGTAAATTAAATTGACTTGAAAATTTTTATCTTACGCCTTAATAACATTTCAAAAGAGATAATGATTTATTTAAAAATAATATAAATATATCTATTTAATCATAAACATTATTATTTTTTAACTAAGTACTAGTAAGATAAATTTGTTCATTTAATATCGTGTTCTTTTGTTTATTTGTAATCGGACAATTTTCAAAAATAATTTCATAAATTATTTTTATAAATTTAACCACTGAGTGTATGACAAATAAATTTATTGTAATTATCGTTAAAAAAAAAAAGTAATAATGAATTTTTTTTTTATTTTTTAGTGAATATAATAAAATTGAAAACAAATTAATAACGTCTATCAATTTTAAATAACTATTTATTGTTATATTGTAAATTTTATCCTTCGACGTCCCTCTTCTCAATATAAATAAAATATATGTACATTATATATAATATAAGCTATAAGTGATATGACACAAATGAAAAGTGAAAGCTATATGTCATCACAACAGCGATTACTTGAGTCTTTGGCTTTTTATGTTTTTATGTTAAATGATAATGGGCAACAATATTCGATGCTTGTTGTGTCTTAAATATTAACTATAATTATAATAATAAATAATGTTTGTATGATCTTTTTTAACAGTTATGATTGCGAAATAATTCAAAGCTTTTCAAGATGAAAAATTATCGATAAATAGATAGTCAGTTATTAAGAATTAGCTATTAAGATTATGTTAATTATCGCATAAATAATAAATTTAATTTATGGATAATATATATTTAAAATACTTCCGTTTTGATTGTCTTTTATCAATGGCAACCTTGGCCACTGTGGCGTTATTTTCACATTACCGTTAATTGAGATTATCGAGTGATGTTTCATGAAGATATTAATATGTACAATTATCTTAGTTTCTTTCAGTATTAAATTTTTTTTTCTTTCATATCGTATGCGTTATCTTTATATAGGATTAAAATAAAATACTGTTATCAATTCATCGTCGTGGCAGACAGTCGTATGTTTATTCTTGTGAAAAAGTTATTTTGTGAAAAACGACGTTAAGAAAAAATTAATTAACACTTAAAAATTCAGCTATTAATTAATTAAATAAATTAATAATACTGTTATTATAAATCATAAAAAATAATGTACTGTTGATTGAGCATAAACAAAAAAATAATAGTAATTGTTAAGTAAACTTTCGTATTACCTTGATGATTACTTCAATGTCACACGATTATTTTTTTTTGTATCATTACAAAAATTTAATTCACGTTAATAAATCAAGTGTATCAGTGTACTCGATGAGTAAATTAAATAGCTTTTATTGCTACTCACCATTTATTGTTATTCAGATTCATTTTTATTTCAATAAATTGTTGTTAAGTCGAAACTGATACTTGGACTGATTACTCTTAAATTTTGTTTTGTTTTTTTTATTTTTTAATTAACTGTTGTTGGTAATTGTAACGAAAATATGCCTGGTACATTGACTTGTCCGATGTACGTTGGAGTTGAAAGGCCAGGTCATCGTAGAAGAGCCAACACTTGGGATTCTCGAAGTCGGAGAAGATCTACTGTAACGCATCAACATGTTACGCCACAACGACCTACTAGATTATCTCTCGCTGAATTAATTGTAAGTATCAGTTTATTTTACAATTATCATCCTCATCTAGATTAAAAAAAAAAAAAAATTATTTATATAAATCACCTTAATACGTATTAATAAATTAATTAATGTAAAAATAACATAAAAAAAAGCCACTTTTGTGGTTTCTTAATCTATAATCTTGCGTGTAAATATCTTGTATATCATAGTTCAATAATGACGTATTTACTCTGGATGTATTTAAATTAAATTTAATTTATGACTGATTCAACATTTTTCAAACCATAACTTTCTATTTTTAAATAATATTTTATCACTGTACTTTTTATAAAAAATCAATCTTTTCAAACATTTTAAAGTTAATTGATAATATTTTAATTATCATCAATTATTTTAATGTTGAAAAATAATATTTATTGTTTTTAATATTTCAATGCCGAATGTTTATCTTAAATATTTAATTACATCCGTCATTTTTGTTTATTAAGACAATTTACAAACTGTAAAAATATATTAGAAAATTTTCATAAATTGTATTCAACTTAAATCTGATCATTTGTAGGATTTTTATTTATGAAGAAATTATAAAAAAAAATATTTAATTACCTAGAAAAAAATTAAAAAAAAATTTTTTTTTATTGATAATTTAATAAATAAAATGATATTAAATTTAATGACATTAATATTTAGTCACTAGAAAATATTTTTTCCAAAAAATTACCTTTTTTTATTTTTTTAAATCTTAAATGTCAATTTTTTTATAAAATTTTTTTTGCCATAATATTTTTGTATGAAAATTAAGTTATCCGACATCTAAAAATTTTTAGAATTTTTTTTTTACTGAAAAAATCATTACAGAAAAATAAAAAAAAATTTTCATTTGTAAAAAACTTGAAAAACTATAAGTGCAATTTTTAAAAAATATTTTTTAGTTCTAATTTAATAAATGAAAAATAGTCAAAAAATTAAAAACGTCGGTTAACTTTAATGACATTTTTATTTGATATCAAATTCTTAAAATTATTAAATATATGATAAATTCATTTTCATTGAAATTGAGACACGTGATAATTTTTAGAAATTTTTAACACATAAATCACAACAAAAAAAAATTTTATTTGAAAAATTCTATCTTCAAAAATTCTAAAAAATTACAAATGTAATTTTTTAAATGACATTAAAGTTAGCAGTCACTTGACAATTTTTAAATCTTATTTAACAAACAAATTTGTTGTAATAATTATTAAAAAAAAATTGAATTTCTATTTTTAAAAATTTCTACATGTTAATTTTTTTTGCAGTAATTTATCTCTTAAAAAAATTATTAAATATCTGCTAAATTTTCATATTTTTTAAAAATAATTTTCTAGGCCTAGTTTTCTTTTGCAAGAAAAATAAAAAAATTTGACAAGTGTTTGCTGATTTCAGTGTCATTAAAAAAATCATAAAATGATCAGATGTTTACTAGTTTTAGAATAACAAAATTAGTCAGAAGCAATAAAAAAAAAATTTTTAATTTACAAATCATTAATTACCTCAAAAAAAAGTTGTTGATCATTGAACTGTCAAAAAATGTCATTTTTCAAATATAAAATTTTTTATTTGTTGAAAAAAAAAAAAATAACCAATAAAAATTTGTAACCAATTCCGCTTACAGTCTAATTAAAAATAAAAATAACCCTTACAAATAAAAACAAATAAATTATATAATAAAAAAAGAAAGATAAATAAATAATAACATTTAAAGATTGAAGTAACGTTGCTAATGTCCCGGTTTAGTTGCCATGTTTGAAAAATCCGATGTCATATCCGTTTTGTCATAAATATATATGTACACATATATAAATATATATATATATGTAGGTATGAGTATATACATACGTAGACAAAGTAAAAGTAGTGGGGTTAACACACAAAATAGGTTTCTTGATGGCACATTACATATGAAAATAGTGATAACTTTATTATTAATTATTAAATCATTAAAAAATTACCGCAAGTATATTGAAACAAATAATATTATCGTAAGGAGTATTAATGGCAGAAGAGCATTTATATGGATATAATCCAACGCCCGGCGTTGACGACGACAGTGTATGTAAAATTTCTGTGACATTTTTTGACAAGCAGAGGTTGGAATTTAATGTCGACTAAAAAAACGTTATTTCTTCGTATTGTTTGTTTTAAAATAATAACGAGAATTACACGCGATGTTCATTATTATTACCTAGTGGATTTGTTTAGCACACGGCAGTCACCAAGTGATGCAATAAAAATTTCCATTGTTAATCAATTAAATTTGTGGTTGAAAAAAATACGTGTTATTGACGTCAAACAATTTATTTTATACGTTTTATAACCAGTTAATTATATTGATTACCAACAGTGTTTATTTATTGATTATTTATCCAACACACCAACCTAAAACTTTAAAAATATTAGTTTAATTTTTACTCGGTCTTAATTATTTAGGCATTCTGCTAAAATTAGCACTGACTAATTATTGTTTGCAGAATGATGAATCCATCAGAAGGCTGAGGTTGAGAGTGATAGCAGGCCATCAGCTGGCTAAGAAGGATATTTTTGGAGCCAGTGATCCTTATGTCAGGATTGATTTGTATCCAATCAACGGTCATGAGACTGTCGACTCAGTACTTACTAAAACTAAGAAGAAAACACTTAATCCTGTTTGGGAGGAAGAATTTTTATTCAGAGTACGTCGTCCTTTAATTAATTTTAATTACATTAAAGTTAGCAGTCACTTAATTATTTTTTTAACAAATAAATTTGTTGAAAAAATTATTTTTTAAAAATAGCATTTTTTATTTTTTTTACCATAATTTAATTGCTAAAAAAATTATTAAAATTATCAAATATCTTCTAAATTAATTTTCATACTTTAATGACATTAGAGTTAGCAATCACTTGATTATTTTTTAGTTATTGTTTTTAAATAAATTTGTTAAAAAAAAATTATTTTTGAAAAATAGCATTTTTAATTTTTCAAAATTTCTACATATCAATTTTTTTTCTTATTTTTTTACCATAATTTATTTATTAAAAAAATTCTTAAAATTCTAAAATATCTGCTAAATTAATTTTCATACTTTAATAACATTAAAGTTAGCACTAACTTGATTATTTTTTAGATTTTTTTTTTAAACAAATTTGTTCCAAAAAACTATTTTTGAAAAATAGCATTTAAAATTTTTTTAAATTTCTATATGTTAATTTTTTATGAAATTAAAGTTAACAATCACTTAACAATTTTTTAATTTTATTTAACAAAAAAGTTTGTCCCAAAAACTCATTTTTAAAAAATTGCATTTTTTACTTTTTAAAATATTCAAATGTCAATTTTTTTTTATAATTTTTTTTGCCATAATTTTTTTGTTAAAAAAATTATCAAATATCTGCTAAATTATAATATTTATATAATTTTAAACAAATTTTTAATTATTGATCATCCAAATAGGTTAAGCCATCAGAACACAAGCTGGTGCTCCAAGTATTCGATGAAAATAGATTAACACGAGATGATTTCCTGGGCATGGTCGAGCTGAACCTGATGAACTTGCCGAAGGAACAACTCGGTAGAAGTATTCCTACAAAACAATATATTTTACGTCCACGCAGGTACTTGTTAAAAATAAATTATTAACAACTATTGATTGGAATTAGTTATTAATAATTCACTATGCTGGCCTATGTCCAGTCATTCCAGTCAGAGACCCAAAATAAAGGGTACTCTTGAACTATACCACGCGTACGTCACGGATGATTCAGCAGCTGAAAATGGTGACGGTGATACTGCCTCTGATTCTGGTGGATGGGAATTGCTAGACCAGCCGAGTCCGACTTCGAATGACAGTCCAGTTCAACCGACCGCTGAAGTACTTAGAAATTTTTTACTCTACGAAAATTAATTATTTTGGAGTTAACAATTTTTTTTTTTACTCGATTAGCCGTCGACGAATGGTCCATTACCATCTGGCTGGGAAGAACGTCAAGACGCAAATGGCAGAACTTATTATGTCAATCATATAGCTAGATATACTCAGTGGGAGAGACCAACGACGTATGTATTTTTTTTTATTATTATTCACTTTTATCTGATGAAAATTTAGTTAGCTGACATTTAACAATTTTTAGAAGTTTTTTTTTTATTGAAAAAAGTATTAAGAAAATTTTTTCATTTATAAAAAAATTGAAAAATTGTTAGTGCAATTTTTTAAAAAATATTTTTTTGTTACAATTTAATTATTGAAAAAAAATTCAAAAATTTAAAACGTCGGCTAACTTTAGTATTATTGACGATTGTTGAAATTTCGTATCACATTTCCTGTTATAACTAAGTTTATTTATATTGATTAATTGAAATTGGATCTGTACTTTCATCATAGTGCTTATATTATTAATGGAAATTAAAGTAGCAGATATTTTAGAATTTTTTTATGATACTGAAATTAACAGACATTTGTCAATTTTTTTTTGATTTTTATAACAACTAAATTATTGTGAAAAATTTTTAATAAAAAAATATCACATCTAAAAATTTGAAAAAACTACAAGTGCAAATTTTTAAAAAATATTTTTTTTTTTTTGTTGAGTTTTCATAAAAATAAAAAAAAATGGCAGATGTCTGCAGACTTCAGCATTATATTTTTATGATACTGAAATTAACATATATATTTGTCAGTTTTTTGGAGTTTTAGAACAACTAAATTATTATAAAAAAATTAAAAAAAAAAAAATATCACATATAGAAATTTAAAAAAACTACAAGTGCAAATTTTTTAAAATATTTTTTATCATTGATTTGTCATAAAAATTAAAAAAATGGCAGATGTTTGCAGATATTTTTTTAGGGGATAAATTACTACAAAAAAAAAAATTGATATGTAAAAATTTTAAAAAATAAAAAATGCAATTTTTTAAAAATAATTTTTCTGAACAAGTTTAATTGTTAAATAAAAACATAAAATAATTTATTTTATTTTAGACTAAATTCAGCGCCTGTTGGTGGAGTTACAAATGAACAACGAAGCTTAGATACAGCAGCAACTGAATTCCAACGACGATTTCATATTAGTGTCGATGACGCTGAAAGTAGACAGCATCGCAGCTCAACAATTAGCCAGGTAAATAACAACTTTGTTGCTAAATAAATTAACGGTAACTTTTGGTGTACAAAAATTTAAATTTAATTAGAAAAGTAGACTAGTTATTAGTGAATAGAGACCCATTGTACAGTTAAAACTATTTAAAATTCACGTACAGTATCGTTTATTATAGTAGTTATTAATTATTGGAGCAAGTTTGATAATAAATAATTGATTTTACTGTCAATAATAATAATTAAAAAAAAAATGCTTGATAAAGTTAGTTTGCTTTTAAAGAACTGTGATCAATATGAGGTCTTTAGGTATTTAAAAGTACGGATAGTTAAATAATTTAACGAATAATAATATTAATAAGCATAAGTAAACTTTAAAGTTTAAACCAATTGGTGTAAAGTAGCATGTGGAATGTTGAAATGACGCATGTGTGTGTAAGGATCGGGAATTAAATCGTCAAGAAGATGATGGCAATAACAGAGAGGATGATAGTGAGGATTGGGATGAGTCGGTCGGGGTGAGAGATCGCGAGTCTTTAACGCGTCCCGGTGAATCTACTTCGACGTCTTCTACCTCTGGCCAGTCGGTTGATCACGACGGCTATCTGGGAGAGTGCGACGATCAGGTATTCCTGAATATTCAAAGACAAATATATTTATTGTACATGTATATATTATTAAATGCTTCACGGCTATATGCATGCATCGTTAGATTTTTAAATTATTTATTAACCATTATACACTCACTAGTTTATTTTATTTACCACTTCAAGGCCAAGTGTGATTTTTATGGTTCATGGAAAATCGCTTACATCGAATGATTTTTTTTTTTACTCTTTTCATTTTGTAATATATGACCAAACATCACAAACATTTGTTCTGATACTTTGCCCACAGACTGATGACAACGTTGATAGCCCAGCTGGTTCAAGACGATCTTCTGAACAGGTTAGTTCAGAATATTAGTTGATATTGCTTCTTGTATATTATTCATTTAAATTATATTAATAAGAGAATGAGAAAAATTTTATCCTTAGGACAGTCATATGATAAAATCGATTTTTTTTAGTGAAATTTAGTGTCATTGTAAAGGTCTTGATTTGAATTTGTGCCTTTTCAAGGTTTCATATCATTCTAACCGATAGTCGATTTATTATGATAAATATTTGGGTTGCATTCAAAAATACTCTAACTCTAGGTACATAATTCAGAAATTACCTTGTATCTTGTGAACTATTGATATTTTTAAAGATATAAGCTCATCCTGATGTTACACTCATCGAGGCCTTTCATTTGAGTACCCACATCAATTTTTCATATATTTTATATATTTATACATATTAAATATATGTATATATG